TATATATATTAGAGTACAGGAAATCTGAGGGGTGGTAAGGGGGTACAGATAGGGGAGTGAATCTAAATATAATCAAAATATATTGCATGAAACTTACAAAAACTGAATTAAAAATTTAAAAACATAAAATCTGGTACAGAATTAAAAAACACAAAACCTCAGGTACAGGGGCTAGAGAAATGGAACCAGCAGTTAAGAGTTCAAAGAGCTCTTACACAGGACCAGAATGTGGTTCCCACCCCAAGTGGTTAACAACTACTCCAGCTCCAAAGAATGTGACACCCTTTTCGGGCCTCCAGGGGCACTGCACTCACATGCCAACATGTTCACATATTTTAAAACAAAAAATAAAATCTCATTTATAAAACCTCAGGTACAAGGTGCTGAGGAGAGGGCTTATGGCTCAGTCAGCAAAGTGCTTGCTCTGCAAAGCTGAGGACCTGAGATGGATCCCCAAAACCCAGGTAAAAAACATAGTTCAATGGTCAGAAGTGTGTATTGCTATTCCAGAGGACCCAAGTTCCCTTTCTAGAACCCATAATAGACAGTTTACAATGCCTATAACTCCAGCTCCAGAGGATTTTGATGTCTTTGCCCTCTGGCACTATACTCACATGTACATACCTACACATAAACAGATAATTAAGAATATTTTTACTATTTAGAATATCTTACTACTTTGTGTATGAGCGTGCTGCATACATGTATGTAAGTGCACCTGTGTCATGCAGTGCCTGTGTAGGTCACAAGAGGGTGTCGGATCCCTGGAACTGGAGTTATGGTGATTGATGGTCACCATTTGGTTGCTGTGAAACAAACCTGGGTCCATTGCAAGAACAGCCAGTGCTCTTAACACCTGAGCCTTCTCTCCAGTCCCCTTAAAAATATTTTTATCTTAAAAAAAAAAAAAAGGCTCGGTGTGGTGGCAGGTATACACTTGAAACCCCAGTATAGTAGAGGCAAAGACAGGCAGATTCCTGAAGCTCACTAAGCAGTCAGCCCAGCCTAATTTGGAAGCTCAAGGTAAAAGTGAGACCCTGTCTCAAAATCAAGGTGCAGAATGACAGAGGAAGACACAGGAGGTTGACTTCTGGCCTCCTCACATGTGCAGCTGAACACTTATGTGCACCCTCATATACACACCCCAGACACATAAACTCAGGTACAAATGTTTGTATGGGCATAAACTTTCTGTTCGTTCGGACAGATACCGGAGTGTGTTCAACTGCTAAATCATACCATAAAGGAACATTTTGCATTCCTTGCAGGACCATACAGGAGTTTTTGTTGTTCTATATTCTCATTAGCATGTTTTGGATTTTCACTCTTCCAAGTAAGTATTATGTTAAAATTGAGTTTCCCTAATGACCTATGATGTTGAGCATCTTTTTAAGGCTTATCTGTGTGGTGGGACATCTGTTACTAAGGTTGTACATTTTCTTATTTATCTGAAGGTTCTCGTGTGTGTATGCTTTGAGTAAGGTTCCTTTATCATGTCCTTTGTAAATATTTTCTCTCCATCTGTAGCTTATCTTTTCCCTTCCTTAACATATTTATCTTTTGACAATAAGCAATCATTGTGTAGGCACACCTCTGCATAGAGTGCCTGCCAAAGCCAGAAATGGGCATCTGATCCCCTAGAACTGGTTACAGAGGGTTGTGAGACACCATATGGGTACTGGGAACCTAACCTAGGTCCTCTACAAGAGCAGCATGTGCTCTTAGCTGAGTCTCTTAACTTGCTTTGTGTGTGTGTGTGTGTGTGTGTGTGTGTGTGTGTGTGTGAGAGAGAGAGAGAGCGAGAGAGAGAGAGAGAGAGAGAGAGAGAGAGAGAGAGAGAGTCTCCCAGTTTACCAGGCAGAACTTCATCTCACAGAGATCCACCTGCCTCTGCCTCAAGAGCCCTGGAATTAAAGGCGAGTCACCACCACGCCCAGCTTTTATACTTTAAAAAATAACTTGCTGGCTGTGGTGGTGCACTTCTTTAATCTCAGCACTCGGGAAGCAAAGGCAGGCGGATCTCCGTGAGTTCCAGGCCAGCTGGGGCTACAGGGAGACCCTGTCTCAAAAAGACAAA